AATAAGAATTTAACTTCTGTTGATACTCCAAACTATATATATTTTATGAAGTTTGATGGTCACATTAGCATCTATTTTGTATTGTATCATGGCTTCCAAGTGTTTCCTTTATTCTATCATCATCCAGTGTTTCCTCTATGCCATTATCTTTCTGCTTATTAATCGTCCTCAAACTTCACCTAATGAAATTAATACGCCGCAGCATGCCTCCACTAAAAACCATGGTTTGAGCTGGGACCAGCGTTACTTCAATTTCAAACCAAGACCAGACAGCCATAAAGTAGTTGTACAAGTTGATAAGATCACAAAGGCTCTATGGCTTACAGGTTTCAAACTCATGGCATTGATTCTTGACAGAAATCTTCCTTCTCTCATACCATATGGAGATTCAGATTCAGATTTTGAAATTCGAGAAGATGGTACCCACAAAAAAAAATAGCACTATTACTCTATACAATGATAGCAAGATCACCATATTCGGACCCCCGGATGAGGTTATCTCATTCAAAAAATGGGAACGAATACATTATCGATATCAAATTGTAGCTATGAAAGTCGATAGGAGAGATTTCTCGGACTGCTTAAGACTGCCATCCTTTTATCCCTATTGGTCCATGCTTATGGCAAATTATGCCGATGAGATCCCTATGATTAACCATGTTAGAATTACTCATTGGAACATCTACAATGATGGTAATGTGATTGTCCATGGGGTCGAGAAAAACTTTAATTATTTGGAAGCTGTGGATATGCTGTTGGTCACTTGCTCATATGTAAGACATCATTTTTCTTAAAAACAAAGATAAATTGTTATAATATTATAGCTGTTTTTATATATGAAAATAGGTGATATTCTAATTTGTTTGATTGTTTTCATTTTTTTTCATGCTTTAAATAATTGTTTTCAGTTTTTGGTATGAAACATAGATGATATATGCAATAGTCACATCAATGATACTTAATTATTAGACTATGGTGGTTTTTTCATTTTTTGTTATCAAAAGTTTGATAATTTTGTTGCCTGTATATCAATTGGTTAGTGATGAAACATGAGCAGTTTTTGAATCCTTCGGTTTTGATGTTTTCTTGAAATTCCTTCATACTCCTATATCTTGTTCTTGTACGTATATATGCTATATTATATTCTTTCTGGTTTAGCTAAATAAGTTTTCCTCTTCGTTTCC